GTTAACCACCCGAAACTCACCCGAGGCCCTCGGGACCTCAACCAAACATGCCAACAAGTCACATATCACCACTTAAACTTGTTCCAACCTTCGGAACACTCAAAACAACATCAAAACATCAAATCACCCTCGGATTCAAGCCTAAGAATTTCCAAACTTCTGAATTCCGCAAACGATGCAAAAACCTATCAAACCTCATCCGAATTACCTGAAATTTTCCACACATGTCACAAATGACACAAGGACCTACTCCAATTTCCGAAATTCCAATCCGAACCCGATATCAAGATTTCCACTGCCGACCGGAAAATGCCGAATTTCCAATTTCGCCAATTCAAGCCTAAATCTACCACGAACCCCCAAAATACATTCCGAACACGTTCCTAAGTCCCAAATCACATAACGAAGCTATCCGTACCATAAAAACCCAATTCCAATATCATTTACCCACAAGTCAACTTCCGGTTGACTTTTCCAACTAAATGGCCAACTTAAGAGACTAAGTGTCTCATTCCACTCTAAGACCGCTCCGAACAAAGAACAACCAATAAGATATGATCAAATACAACTGAACAACACATAAGGGAGCAGAAATGGGGGAAACGGGGTTGTAACTCATGAAACGACCGGCCGGGTCGTTACAGTCATGGGCCGTATGCTGCGGTTCGTGGACTTTATGACTCAGGCTGGTTTATTTCTAGCAGACCCAGCCACATCTCAGGCAGGAGGGGGAGCATAGACCCCTACTACTCAGGCTCCTGGGCACGCAGCTGCCGTATATCAGACTCTTGGTACTCTACCCGCGGGCGGTGCCCAGCAGTTGCAGCAGTGGTACCGGAGCCCAGACCAGCTGCGAACGATGATTCGCAGAAGTTGTTCGGTAGATGGACTAGGTTACACCATCCTATCTTCGGAGGTGAGTGTCATTAGGATGCCCAGGATTTCATTGACAGGTGCAGGGACAGACTGCACAACATGAGGATATTGGAGTCCTATGGAGTGGATTTCACCGCCTTCCAGTTAGAGGGCAGGGCCCGTAGGTGGTGGCAGTCTTACCTTCTCGGCAGACTAGCAGGTTCTCCTCCCATGACTTGGATCAGTGTATACAACTTCTATTGGATAGGTATATTCCACCCTCTCAGAGGGAAGATTTGCGGTGTCAGTTTGAGCAGCTCGAGCAAGGTCAGATGTCTGTGACCGACTATGAGGCGAGATTATCTGAGTTGTCTCGCCATGCACTCATGATACTTCCTACGGACGCAAAGAGAGTGAGGAGATCCGTTGCGGGGTTACACCCCGGTATTCGAGCTAGCATGGCACGAGAGGTTGAGATGGGGACTGAGTATCAGTTAGTGGTGGAGATTGCTCGGCGGATTGAGGGTTACCGCCAGAGAGGTAGAGAACAGTTGCAGCAGGACAAGAGGACTCGATTCTCTTGAGAGTTTAAAGGTGCCCCAACAGGGGCAGAGGTCAGTTTGGGAGGGGTCAGCCCAACAGGCCCATATATCCAGCACCACCACCACCCCCTCGGGGTGCTCCAGCACGACCCTATTTCAGTGTTATGCCAGAGAGTTCTTACCGCCCACCAGTTCATCAGGGTTCTTTCGGTGCCTATTTCAGTGCCATGCCAGAGAGTTCATACCGCCCACCAGCCATTCAGGGTTCCTCTAGTGGGTATTCAGGCCATCAGGGTCAGGCATCGGGTCAGCAGTCTATCATACCGAGAGGTTGTTACGAGTGTGGAGATCCGGGTCACATAAAGAGAACCTGCCCCAGACTTCGAGGCAAGGCAGTACCGCAAGGTCATCAGCCCATGATTGCAGCACCAGCCGCCCGACCACCCAGAGGTGGGGGACAGGCTGGTAGCGGCCGTCCTAGAGGTGGAGGCCAGGCAGGGGGAGGTCAGTCAGCTATTGCTCAGCCAAGCGGAGGCCAGCCAGCCGACGCTCCAGCTAGATTCTATGCTTTTCCAGCCAGACCAGATGTATTGGCCTCAGATGCCGTGATCACAGGTATTATTTCTGTCTGCGGTAGGGATGCTTCAATATTATTTGATCCAGGATCTACCTATTCATATGTGTCATCTCTGTTTGCTCATTTCCTGGATATTCCTCGTGAGTCTTTGGGTGGTCCTGTTTATGTGTCCACTCCTGTGGGCGATTCTGTGGTTGTGGATCGGATCTACCGATCCTGTGTGGTTACATTCTGTGGTTACGAGACTAGAGCGGACCTTATGTTACTTGACATGATCGACTTTGAGGTCATCTTGGGCATGGATTAGTTATCTCCATATCACGCCATTCTTGATTGTCATGCCAAGACTGTTACTTTAGCGATGCCAGAGTTGCCGAGATTGGAGTGGAAGGGTTCCTCCGTTAGTTCATCTAGTCGGGTTATCTTTTTTCTGAAGGCTCAACATCTGGTTGAGAAGGGGTGTTTGGCGTATCTGGCCTATGTTCGGGACACAACCGCAGAGTCTCCGACAATTGATTCAGTGCTGATAGTTCGGGAGTTCACCGATGTGTTTCCTTCCGGCCTTCCAGGCATGCCTCCAGATCGTGACATTGATTTCTGTATTGATTTGGCTCCAGGTACCCAGCCTATATCCTTCCCACCATACCGTATGGCTCCGAAAAAGTTGAAAGAGTTGAAGGAGCAGCTTGAGGAGTTGTTAGCAAAGGGGTTTGTGAGACCCAGTGTATCACCTTGGGGTGCACCAGTGTTATTTGTGAAGAAGAAGGATAGGACTATGCGGATGTGCATTGATTACCGCCAGTTGAACAAAGTCACCATAAAAAACAAGTACCCGTTGCCTCGTATCGATGATTTGTTTGACCAGTTACAGGGTGCTAGGGTGTTTTCTAAGATCGACTTGAGATCGGGGTACCACCAGTTGAAGATTCGGGACTCAGATGTTTCGAAGACTGCCTTCTGTACTAGATATGGTCATTATGAGTTTCTGGTGATGTCCTTCGGCTTGACTAACGCCCCAGCGGCATTTATGGATTTGATGAACAGGGTGTTCAGGCCTTATATTGATTCTTTTGTTATTGTCTTCATTAATGACATCTTGATCTACTCACGTAGCCTGGGGGAGCACGAGAAGCATTTGAGAGTAATGCTCCAGACATTGCGAGAGTAGAAGCTATATGCTAAGTTCTCCAAGTGTGAGTTTTGGCTTGAGTCAGTAGCATTCTTGGGGCATGTTGTATCAGGAGAGGGTATTAAAGTGGATCCTAAGAAGATTGAGGCAGTTCAGAGTTGGCCACGTCCTACTTCAGTGACTGAGATCAGGAGTTTCCTGGGGTTAGCAGGTTATTACCGCTGATTCATGCAGGGTTTTTCATCCATTACATCACCTTTGACTAGATTGACCCAGAAGGGTGCTCCTTTCCGTTGGTCCGATGATTGTGAGGCGAGTTTTCAGAAGCTCAAGACAGCCTTGACTACAACACCGGTTCTAGTTTGCCTTCCGGTTCAGGGATGTATACGATATATTGCGACGCTTCACGCGTTGGCTTGGGTTGTGTATTGATACAGGAGGGGCGAGTTATTGCATATGCATCACGTCAGTTGAAGATTCATGAGAAGAATTACCCTGTGCAAGACCTAGAGTTAGCAGCGATTGTTCATGCTCTCAAGATATGGAGGCATTATCTGTATGGGGAATCATGTGAGGTTTATACTGAACATCGCTGCTTACAGTATTTGTTCAAGTAGAGGGATCTCAATTTGAGGCAACGTAGATGGCTTGAGTTACTGAAGGATTATGACATCACCATTCTTTATCATCCGGGTAAGGCAAATGTGGTCGCGGATGCCTTAAGTAGGAAGGCAGAGAGCATGGGTAGCTTGGCATTCATTTCAGCGGAGGAGAGGCCACTAGCCTTGGACATTCAGTCCTTGGCTAACAGACTTGCGAGGTTGGACATTTCAGCGCCCAGCCGAGTCCTTGCGTGTGTTGTTGCTCAATCTTCGTTATTGGGGCAGATCAAGGCCCGGTAGTTTGATGATCCGCATTTAGCAGCCCTTAGAGAGATGGTACTATAGGGTGGTGCCAAGGAGGTTTCTATTGGCGAGGATGGCGTTCTGCGACTCCAAGGTTGCCCATGTGTTCCTAATGTCGACGGCTTGAGGGAGAGGATTCTTGAGGAGGCACATAGCTCGCGGTATTCTATTCACCCAGGTGCTACGAAGATGTATCGTGACCTGAGACAACACTACTGGTGGCGGCGAATGAAGAAAGACATAGTGGAGTATGTAGCTAGGTTTTTAAATTGCTAGCAGGTCAAGTATGAGCACCAGAGGCCAGGGGGCCTACTTCAGCAGAGAAATGGGAGCGCATTACTATGGATTTCGTAGTTGGGTTGCCGCGGACCTTGCGGAAATTTGATGCGGTTTGGGTCATTGTCGATAGGTTGACAAAGTCGGCACACTTCATTCCAGTTGTGACTACCTATACTTCCAAGAGGTTGGCCCAAATTTATATTCGGGAGATAGTTCGCACTACAAGAAAATAGGCCTTTAGCGAAGGGAAATATGGTCGTTAAAAGTTCAAATCCGGTCGTTATAAGTTAATAACGACCAAAAAAATCCGGCCGTCACCGGTCGTTAAAAGCCCCGACGTTAAAAGTTAACGACCGGATTACAATGCGGTCGTTAAAGATTCTTTAGCGATGACATAATTTCCGGTCGTTATACATCCTTTTTAATGACCGAATTTTCCCTTCGTTAAATTGTTATCTAGTCGTTAAAAATCTTTAATGACAACTAATTCAGTCATTGAAAGTGCTTTTAGCGACCAATATTCCCTTCGTTATTTGTATTACTTTTATGAACAAAATTTACCTTTGTTAATACCCATTTATCTGTTTGAGAAACATATCATTGAAGAGCTTCAATGACCACATTTCTTTGCCAATGTAAAATTGTACCAAGTATAAGTACAAAAATTTAATTTAAATGTATAGAAATAATTATTTATATGCTTTCATACACACCCAATAACACTCTAAAATAAACCAAATACTTGGTATCTTTGTCAATACAAAGAAGTAAAGTGTCATATTTACCAGAAACCAATCTAAATCATATGACATCATTTTTAATAATTCCTAAGAAGAGAAAAAAAATTACAGCATATGTATAGTCGCTTTAAACCATCCTAACAAAATATAAACCTCTTGTACTTGAAATTACTCTACACTTTCTTCAAGGACAACTTCTTCGGAGTTCAAATATTTGATCTGTTAACATAAGTGTATGCCACTTTAGTAATAAATAATAAACAACTAATGAAGAAACATAGATCCATTAAAGTATACACTAATGGCCATAAACAAGAAATTGAAATAATACAACGATCAGATGACTAGTATTGATCAATTGCAAAAAACTGTTCTTTCTTTGAATAACAATGCCTTCTCATGGGGAGAAGCAGATTGTGGGAAATTATAAAAAGACGTGTACACAATTTTCATACACGATTTCTTTGATAAAAATGTCTACTTTTGTTTTTGCAAATATATTCTTCCCCCAAATCGTATAACAATGTCTTGGAAACTTATTCTTATGCCCATTTAACTTTCCTTTCTTTTTCTTTTTTCACCGCGTTACTGTTGTTCTAATGTGCTGCCTTTCTTTTTTGTAAGTGACAGTTTGTCTATATAACTTTTATATTTGTAGCATATAAGCAGAGAACGAAAAAGAAGAACAAAATTGGAGAGCTAGTTGAATGATAATTTTGGGGGAGTGGAGCCGAAGCACTTGGAGGATGAGATGCTACGGCGATGGAGAAGCCTTTGTGGTGTAGTCAAGAATCCAAAATGGTCTGAATATTTGCATACATCAGAAGCTGATCCTGAAGTCATCAATTGGTCTGAATATTTGCACACAACTTTAACCAGGCAATTCAATCCACAGTCATCAAATAACTTAAGACCTCTACAGTGAAAAATCAAGCACACAATTTGCAACAGAAGGTTCATTGAGTAGTACGATATGGCTGAAGAACCGACAACAACAACCTTCTCTACAAACTACATACTTATATAATAAGCATTTTCAGAGAATTCCACATGCATTTGGATAATTTTCTTAGCCTATTTTCTATCAGCGGAGATGTTAATATTCAACAGGTGTGTGCTATCGAGTTTTATTATTAATTTGTAAATGGTTCTTTTGAAAAGTGTTTTCTATGCGAACACTAGATATGTCTTGAAAGAATATTAAAAACTTGTTCTCTTTTCATGTATGTTTTTAATAGAACGAATGTTACCTTTTTCTATTTTAAATTGTTAATTATCACCTATCCTTTGTATATTTTTGGTTTAGAGGTTGTAACTAATTCTGTCTATTAAGTGTTCATTCCAAAAGCTTTAGTATTACTTTCTGGCTTTCACATTAGTCTGAAATTTCCTATTCAACCAAAAAGAATTTGGACTAGCCTAGTAATACTAGCAAATTACATGCATGAAATAAGCATTTAGCCTAAGCTATATTCCTTCACCCATATTAGGAAGGAAAAATCTCCTTCAAGTAACCAATTGATGTGGAGATCTTCTAATCCAAAAATAGCTTAATACTAGCAAATTATTTAATGATATAAGCATTTAGTCTAAGCTATATTCTTTCATTTACTAATCTATGTCTGATAAAGGTAAAATGAGGAAGAGCATGAAAAGAAAAGGAGCTGGGACATTTTCTTTGCTTGTTTAATTACCCTTTACTGTGTGCTGCAAAAATTTCCACATGAGCATTGCAATAATTTTATTAGAGACTTTAATAGGATTTTAATCTACTAACCTGTTAAATGATTCAATCTACTGCTAAGTTGAAGATGGTGATGAAGGCCGATCAAATACTGCACTTGCAAGCTATGCGTATTTACTGTCTTACACATCATATCTACTCTCTAGCTCTTCCAGGCGTCCGTGATTCATTTTTCGTTTTAGTAGCATTCAACTTCTCTAATAATGTAGCTTTTGAGGAGTTACCACCTTTCAACCCTTAAACGGTTATCAAACCAACAAATCTAACTACATGACTCTTGCGTTGAGGACCAAAGCACCTCTCTACAACCTTAATGTTTGTAAGAGACGATTCAGATTGCACCACTTCTTGGACTTTAGCCTATAAAATAAAAGATAATTTAATTAAAATACTGCAACACAGTAAAGAAATGATGTAAAATGAAATTTATCAACAAACATACATATTTTTCATTGGTTTCAGGTTCAACAATCTTGCTATCCTTCTAACGAGTCTCAAAAAAGATAGTAGCCACATCTGGTGGATTGCCATCTTTACCTCCTTTCACAATAAAATAAACAAGTCAAAGAAATATTTTTAACAAGGATGTGATTTCTTAACAGAATTGCAAGATTAACTCACCAATTCATAAAGAATCTCTCTAATTGGCTTACTACCCGTACGATGAGGCATACTCAACTTAGACCTATTGACCGAGTTTCTTGCACTTTTTTTCCTAAATTGAGAACACGCCGAAAAATATGGTTAGCCACTTAATATAACAAGATGTTAATAAATAGTTATGAAATCATATGTTAAACAATGCTCCTTCACAAGCCATTCCCACCCTATTTGGCACATCTTCTAGAGCATCACAAAATGACTTAAGACTTAATATCAGTAAACATGAAACTTATCCAGTAAACTAGAAAATAAAAAGTTAACCACTCGTTTGTATCAAAAGAGATAATAAATAGATTATAAAGGTTATTATACGAGTTCTAATTGATAGAAAGTGCAGATTCTTAAGTCTGTGACTTTGGATATGAAAGTGGGAGATTGGTCCTATTGTGGAAACTTTATCATCCACAACAGTGTCATAGATAAGCCATGACAGATTCAGACCACAGTGTGTTGCACATATTTCTTCCCTATATTGATCTGTCAAAAAGCTATTACATTGTAAATATGTTCAAATCTTTATTACTATGTAATATTACCAAAGTTGGTCTAACTTTTAATATGTTTTTGTTCTAGCTCAAAATCTTCACTCAAAGATCAAGGGAAAAATGAAGATAAAACACATCAGCAAGAGGAGAATGTCAATAACACTTTGGCATTAGTTCTGTAGATTTGCCAAAAGAAAATACTGATCCCGTTAATAGTGGTGACACCACTGTGAGAGAAGTTCTTAATGCATTGAGGCATGCTAAAGAAAAACTTCAAAGTCAGATGGAGAGAAAAAGTATGATTAAAGTTGGCTAATTTATATGACAGTTTGTTCATGGCATACCGGATGTTTATGAGACATTAAAAATCTGATTCTGCATGATTTTACCATATTGGAGTAATATTGTAGTTGTTAAACATGTATTGTTAATCCAGATCTGAGGTGGTTGAGGTTATTGTAGAGATGGATGTATAGAACTATAGATAATGAAGTACCAACCTTGATGATATTATATTATGTTCAAGCAAACTGAGGAGTTCACTGCTGCAATGTAATATTCTTGCAATAAAGGACATAATTTGGTGATATACTTTCTATCCCAATTGAAAGGTTAAGGCTTTGTCCTACTGGTGATCATCAAGTCATATTTGGTTGGTAAGTAAAAATTATTTATAACAAACAAGAAGCATAGAGACACTGAAAAGGAGAGAAATGTGGAGGTTCGCCTTGTCTTACATAGACACGAAAAAGATTGCCTTCAAACAATTTGAGATCTCATATGACACCAAATTACCCAAAAAAGATCATTTGGAAAGAACTTCCAAAAATCAATTTTATTTTTGTAATTAATCAACTATTCAATGCAATGATGTAAGCTCACAAGTATTTCCTTTTCATTTGTGAAAGAAGAAATGAAGAAGAAAAATTAATAAAGTAATGCTTTAAATCCTTACAGTAACAACTTCTCACATGTGTTGCCGCTTATATTCTTCGATGTCCGCCCATGAATGTACGTGCAATGGACACATATTACAATCACGAACCAATATAACTAAGTGTCTCATAAATAAGACATGATTCTTCCAACAACTGGGTTGTGGTAAAAAGTAACGCTCAACTTTTCTTCAACTTTGAGTCCTGCAATTTTTTTACACCTATTCACTCCTCTCAACTTTTTTGCCTTTTCAGATTGACATGGCCCTGCAAATTTCAATTTAAGTCAGGTATAAAAGAGTTTTTATACAGTAACAGCAGCAAAAAAATTATAGCTTGAGACAGTAAGATACTTATTTACTTATTTCGCATCTCTGACTGCCTTGCATCACTTATTCCTCACGAGGAAAGGGAGCATCATCTTCCAATATTGGCTCAAAATCAGGAGGCGCAAAACTATCACTATGAGTTAGCTTATTCTGATTAGAAGCTAATACACTAAAACTTTTACTTTTGCCAATCGAACCTCTTTGTTCAGCATTTACTCTTACAGATCCCAATGCTCTAAAGATTTGCCCTCCTCTCCTAGCTAAGATACCACGTGGAACGTACACAGGCTTCACAATCTTGAAAGTTGATTCCATCTGCCACTGTTCCTCCCACAATATTCTTTATCATAAACTTAACTCCAATATCCAGCAGGCTCGAATCACAGAGTCAATGAATCACAAAGTGGCATGTTAATTTATCTGGTGCAAAACCATATTTGCTAAGTGACTGATATAACTTAGAGCACTCAGATATTTTTTTCTAGTCTCGAGTAGCTTCGTAATAGAATACTATATGTAGCCAAGTGCCTCTATAAGGTTTCCTCCTCTGCATATTCCCTTTAGTAAGCTTGCATAGGTGTACAAGCTAGGTTGACTACCCAAGATAATCATTTCGTCAAACCAGGATAGTGTTTTTAACCCTTCACCTACACTTCCATAGCAACTCATAATAGAAGTAAAAGCAATAGAATTGGGAACAAGACCAATCTTATGCATGTGACGCATGAAACCCTCTCCCTCTCTTACTCTTTCACATGTACAAAGAGAAGATATTAGTGAGTTGCATATGAAAGTGTTAGGACTATGGCCTGATTTTTGCATCATTACATAGATTCTGATTGCTTTTAGGGGATCTTGCTGCTTACAAAAGTTGTAGATCAAAGTAGAGTCTACCACATTGTTTGAAAAAACTCCAAACTTGTATATCTTACTTAATATCTCCATTGTTGTATTTAGCATTCTAGCTTTACAAAATCCGTTTAGAAGCACCGAGTAGGAAATAACATCAGGACATTTACTCCTCTAAAACATTTCCTTGAATAAAGGTAAAACTTCTCCAAGTGACCCCATTTTGCACATCCCTTCTATTAACATTGTATATGAAATATGATTAGGAAATATTCCATCCAACTTCATCTTTATGAGGATATTTCTTGCAGAAACTAATATGCCACGCTTGTAGAAACCATTCAAGAGAGCCCCATAACAAACTTCATTGGGCCGTAAACCTCTTGCATCTATTTCATTCAGCATTTCTTGAGCCTCTTTAAGATTTCTTACTCGACAATGTCCATCAATCAAAGCACTGAAAGTGATACAATTTGGTGAAAGATTTAACTTCAACATCTCATGAAAAATCTTTTACTGCAACATCAATCTTATCCTCTTTCACAAACCCATTAATAAGAGTGTTATAGGTGATATGATTCGGAACAATCAATCTTTTCCCCATCTTCCTCAATACTAAATAACCATTAGAACTCCTATTATTCCTACATAAATTATCTAAAACATATCATATGTTCAAACATCAGCCTCAAGACCTTTAGATTCTTGCAATCGATTAATTCTAAAGCTGCTTTATACCTACCCTTTTGCAATACCAATTAAGCAAAGTATTATAAGTAACCACATCAGGGTTATAACCACTTTCTACCATCTTTGCAAGCAAATAACTCACTCTCTCGACCTTTCCTTGCTCACAAAAAACTTGTTAAAGTATATTGAATGTACCAACATTAGGAAAAACACGTTTAGCAAGCATTTCTTTGAAAAAAATGACCATACACACTCAACATTATGCTGCTTCATATTACAAGTAAAGGTCAACAAGGTAGAAAACTTAACCCCAAAATCAGAGGAGTAGCCGAAAATCAGAGAAGAAAACTTAAATCTTTGTATATCTCTTTGTGTATTTTTTTCTTCTAAAATTTGAAACACAAACAGAAAATCAAAGAAGAAAACTCAAGAGCAGAGAAGAAATTTTGCCCTTAAAACCCTAGCTTTTCATACACTTTTTCTGTTCAAAACTTAATAATTGAATTTGAACAGCCATGGTTCAGAACTGAGGTTTATCTAAACTAAAATTAACATAAAAATGATACAATTTCGAACCTTTCGTGATGAGAAAAAACTCGAAGATGAGCAATTGTTATCAATGGAGGTGACCACCAGTTTCGCTAATATGACGATATTAACGTTTGAACACCAGTAATTTCGCTGAATTTTACTTCGCAAGATAAATAGCAGTTGTAGGTTTACCCAAATAAGTGTTCACAATAGAGGTGTTGGAGAAGCCTTAGGGTTTTTTTTCTCTTCTAAGGGGAGGTTGGCGGATCCAGGCGTGGGTTTGGGAGAAAAAGAGGGAAAAATTAGTGCCATATTTTATTAATTAATTATTTAACGACGGGATATGTTATATTTAAGGGCCAAATATTATCCCTTCGTTAATATTGAGCTAATAATTCGTTTCAACGACCGGAAAAAAATTTGGTTGCTATAAGTACACCTATAACGACCGGATTTATGTCCCTTCGTTAAGAAGTGGTCGTTAAAAATCAAATTTCTTGTAGTGTCGGTTGCACGGTGTGCCTGTTTCCATCATATCAGATAGAGGCCCTCATTTCACCTCACATTTTTGGATAGCGGTTCAGAGTGAGTTGGGGACCCGTGTGGAGCTCAGCACAGCATTTCATCCTCAGATAGAGGGATAGTCGGAGCGGACAGTTCAGATATTAGAGGACATGCTGAGAGCGTGTGTAATTGACTTTGGAGGGTAGTGGGATCAGTTCTTGCCTTTGGCCGAGTTTGCTTACAACAACAGTTATCAGTCCAGCATCGAGATGGCTCCATTTGAGGCTTTATATGGTCGGCGATGTTGTTCCCCCATCGGGTGGTTTGAGCCTGGCGAGGCTAAGTTATATGGTACTGATTTGGTGAAGGATGCCTTGGAAAAGGTAAAGATGATTCAGGAGAGACTTCGCATAGCACAGTCTAGACAGAAGAGTTACGCAGATCAGAAGGTGCGTGATGTATCATTCATGGTCGGCGAGAAGGTTCTCTTGAAAGTCTCGTTGATGAAGGGTATTATGAGATTCGGGAAGAAGAGCAAGTTGAG